CTTGAATCTTCCCAGTCAGTCTTAACCTGTTTCGACTTGGTGAATTCTCTGGCTTTGATTGTTTAGTTATTACCACATTGATAATCATGAAATGGAAAATTTCAAATCATGATACCTGATATGTTTTTAACTTAAATGTTGTTGTAAGTGTTTGTTATATAAAACATTTGGTTAAATCTTATTTACCTACTTTCCAACTTTTGTAGGCCAAGAAGAAAGTGGCATTGCTTCTACAAAAGCTCAAGAAGTATGAGCTACCCGATCTGCCTCCTCCTCGGCATGATCCAGAGCTCTTAACACCCGAACAGCTTCAGGCATTTAAAAAAATTGGATTCCGGAATAAGAACTACGTCCCAGTCGGTGTTCGTGGAGTCTTTGGAGGGGTTGTGCAAAATATGCATCTCCATTGGAAGTTTCACGAGACCGTGCAAGTTTGTTGTGACAACTTCCCCAAGGAAAAAATAAAAGAAATGGCTTCAATGCTTGCTAGATTGAGTGGGGGGATTGTTATCAATGTTCATAATGTGAAAACAATCATTATGTTCCGTGGAAGAAATTATCGTCAACCCAAAAATTTGATACCTATTAACACCCTTACAAAGAGAAAGGTAGGCTTGCAATTATATATTCCTTATTTGCCTGTATTGGATTCCCATCAGCTTGCCTAGGGCTTTACTTCAGAAATTATCAACGATGCTTATGGGCCAATATTGTTCATTATCATGCAAAAGAAATTATATTTGCCTGTTTATTGTAGCTGCTGTGTTGGTAAAATTACTCCTGCTTATGAAAAGAAAAAAATCCCTAGAAGAATGTAAGGAAGAAAGTTGAACACAGTTTGTTAATGACTAACCAAATGAAATGCTTTTGTTTTATTGATTGCGCTTACACGGCAGCTTTTATGAAAATATAGGTATTATGGTTAGGCTTAACTGCTCTAACTTGCTTGCTCTTTTTTTTTTTTATCTTCAATGTTTTGAGAAATCATTATTTTTGCCCCTAGCTGTTTACATACTATTCAAAGAAGTTGATATTTGAGGAGGTAATGTCTTTGTTCTTGTCATTGCATACAGGCTCTATTCAAGGCCAGATTTGAGCAAGCTCTTGAATCTCAGAAGCTAAACATAAAGAAAATAGAACAGCAGCTTCGGCGAATGGGAGTAAATCCTGAGGATCCAGCTGCCATGGCTAGCATTCAGAGAGTTGCTTCCACATTCTTCAATGCCATTGACAAGAAAGAAGGAACTCCTTACGTCTTCCGTGAAGGTAAGCAGTCAATAATAGAGCCCCCTGCAGGTTTGGAAGAGTCAGAACCTACTGTTGATAGTGATCAGGAAGAACTAGATCGATTCATTTCTGAGATAGAGGATGCAGCAGATAAAGAGTATGAAGCTGAAGAGGCAAAAGAAAAAGAAGAGTTTGGTAGAATTAGATACTGGAACAAAGAGGAATTTGGTGGAAGATACAAAAGATCAGATGCTTCTAGAAACGATGACCATGATGTTGATGCTAGAGGCTCAAGGGTTTGGCAGAGTACACAATCCAAGCGACATGCCATAGACAGTGATGATGAAGAGAGTGCTCATTCTGACAATGATGATGATGATGATGATGATGAGTGGCGTTTCAATAATGTTGATGATGCTAGTGATCTTGACAGCAATTCTAATGGATATGAGGGAAGTAGGGGGAGGTTCAAGGAAAGTAGGAGGAAGAGAGAAAAGCAGAATAATCCTGAAATGGGACAACATCGAGATAACAGAAGTTCAAATAGACATGCTGGAGCTAAATTTAGGAGTAATGTGAGCATGGAAGATTCTGAGTCAGAAGGCATGTTCAGTGATGTTGAAAATGCAATGTGGGAGTGTGAGGACGAAGAGAATAATGACTCGGGAAATTTGAGAAAGTTCAATGATAATAACTACGACAGTGGAAGCAGTGATGATGAGTATACACACCAAGCAATGAGAAACAACAAGAGTGATGTGAAGAAGGATCATAAGGGTAAGGTTGGTGATTCTGCTAAATATCATAATAGTTTTGGTGCACCAAAGAGTTTGAGAGGTAAACATGGAGTTAACAAAGTTGATTCTGAATCCGTAGATGAATTTAGCGGTTCAGAAAACTGGCTGTGGCCTTCAGATGCTGAAGGGGACGCTAGGGATGAAGGAGACTACCCTACAAAACAAAATAATAATGTGATCAAAAGTGATGATATACCTAAGAGGAGAACACCAAAAGATGCAGATGAGGCTTGGGACAGTGATTAGTCCAGTAATGTGAAAATTATCATCACTGTCACATGTTTTCTGCATAAATCCTGAAGTAATTACAAACCCACTAGTCATGTCATGTATATGTGACCTATTCTTGGTGGTGCTTGAAGCCTCAGCCTTTGACTATCTGAAGAAGAAAATTGTTTTTTGACATTTTTTTATTGAATTAATCAGTTGGAATTGAGAGAGATTGGGGGACCTTTATTTATTAAAAGGTACACATCAGTATAGGTGTTGAGCTGTCTAATGGAAGAAAAAAAGGATGAAAAAATAATTTAACTTAAAATCAATCTCTATATTTTAGTTCTGGACAAGTTAAATGACAAATCATTTTATATAAGTTTAAGTATAACTGAAGCTTGTGAAAAAAAGAAATTATTTCACTTAAATATGTTTCTGGTTTTTGTAAGTCTAGAGATAATTTGATTTTAACCTCTGAAATTTATAACTGATTGTCTAATAATAATCCTTATAATTTGAAAAAAAAAAAAAAAAAAACTCTGACAGAGCATATTGAATATGATTGTTCTTTGGGCATAACTTTTCAACCTAATCCATGTTCCTTATTAAAAGACACTGTACCTGTCACAACATGCAATGCAGTGATTATCTGCTGCAAATTTTCTACATAACCGTGAAGTCTACCTATATGTATTTGGTCTGCTCTACATAACTTTCCCAGTCAAATATGTTCAATTTAATTCTATTTTTACTATATTGAATTTGCGTGACGTATACTTTTGGTTTTTAAGACTTTTTCAGAACTTTTTCTCACTTTTTTTTTAAAAAATCAAATAAAATTAGTCTTTTTTTTTTCTTTTATCAAATTTTCCACTTAAAATTTTTCCTACACTTTTTTTTTTGTTTTTCTTCCTAAAAAAAAATACTGTTTTTAGATTTTGCAAAATGTATAAACTTTTATTTTGATCCATGTAAAATATTTTATTTATTTTCTAATATTTATTTTAAGATAGATAAATAACATTTGCTTATTCATATTTAAAGAGTTTTCAACAATATTATGATATGTATAAAGGAAAATGATACTTGAACAACTATTTTTGACAACATTTAGACACGCGCACACGTGTCAAAATCTGAGTGGTCCAGTTGGAAAAATTAAATGAAAATGGACCACTCAGATTTTGACACGTGTGCGCGTGTCTAAATGTTGTCAAAAATGGTTGTTCAAGTGTCATTTTCCATGTATAAAATGGGTATGGTTAGTAGACTTTCTCTGTTGAAAACATAAAATTAACTACGATAATAATGATAAGGAGTAGTGATTTTTCTGATAAACCAAAATCAAAAACAAAATTTCAAGTACACACTACAATCAAAATTTCCTTATTTCACACAAAAACATCAAAATCCATATAGAATCACTGTACAATATTTTGTAAGAGTCTTCTACCTTTATCAAATATCCACTAAAATCTGTAAATTTTAAAATATCAGGATAAATGAAGAACATTTAAGATTTTTCAATGAAAGAGAAAAAGTTTGTAATTTGAAAACTAAAAGAAACACCCAAGTTGCATAAAATAGAAGATATTTTTTTAAAGAATGTAATGATCTGCCACAGAATTTTGTGGAAAAAATGAAAAACCTTGAAGTGTGGAAGAGAGACTGAAAATGTAGCCTAGAATAGAAGACTTGACTCATTCATCAAACTCAAGATTATGTCACAGTTAAATGCTCATTATATTATACATACAAACATATTGAGATTGAGACTGAGATAGTGATGGATATAGGAGAGTTGCAATGCTTATGTGTCCACTAATAATCAATTTGGGCGGTGGAAAAAAAAGATACCTAGTTCAAAAGCATCATCCCTTCACATTTTTTTTCAAATTCTTAAATACCTTTTATTCATGTCAAGCACAAATCTTTTCATTACGATAAAACTGGATCACCAGTTCAATCAGCTTAACTAAAAACCAGTTAAAAACTGATGAACTTGATACAAGTAAAAGATTGGTTTAATAGTTTTTTCTAATTTAATTTCTTGAGTCGTTTAAGTCAAAATGCAGGCTATGATACCCTTTTTGGCTGTTTTTCTTAAGCAGTACGATTTGGAAACTCTTGTATTGTTGAAGAGTCAAACACTCAATGAATTTGACAGTTGAAAAATTCACCAGTTAGTGGCCATCTTAATCTCAATACCTTCTCTTAAGTCTTGGGTGGTGGGGACTCAGAGGAGTCCCTCCAAGTCTTTGGAAATGAAAAAAATAAAACATCAATTTCCCACGAAAATTATCCAACAATTGCACAGCTCAGCCAAGTCAATGAAGTCCACTCACTATAGAAAAATTCTAAGACTCGTTTACAAAAGAAGAAAGGAATAAAATTAGCCACAAGAAAATCTCTGGAAAAGGTTTTGATACCTTATTATTGGATGAGTTTGAGTGCGTAATAAGAGTTGGACAAAAAGAATTACTACAGCCAATGGTTTGAGCCAACCTCAATAAAATCATCATGGCCAATTCTAAGTGCAGCACTTCTTATCTTACCCTGTTTATGGCTTAATCAATAGTTCACTTGAATTTAGATGCAGAATTAATGGGTTAAACTTACCACCACATTATCAACAGAAACTAAAAAACCCAGTGCAGAATAGGAGTATACATAAATCAATCAAAATTTAACTGTAGAAATAGTTAAAACTTGAGATGAGTCATTTAACAAGAGTGGTTAGAATTATGTAAATATATCCCAGTCTAAGAAATTCAAAATTCCCATCAGAAAAGATTGGGAATGTCTTTCTACTATATTAAACAAATGGGGTTTACACATATCCTAAGATAAGCTACAAAAGCTTGCCAGAAGATGTAACACTATTTCCCTCACAACAACCTCCTCACTTGAGAATTTCTATCTCAAATTCTAAGACCCCAACAGGTTTTTCCAAATGCCCCTCCAAAGAAAGGCCTGCATTTGCTTGGCATAAAAGTGCCTTGTATAATGAACACACAAAAGTTGAGTCATTCAACACTGCAACTTTTGGTGTTATACACATCACACAAATATCAGCAGATTTTGTTTTCTGACATATGTTCAGCCACTTTCTCTTCTGCAGTTACCAGGCAACAAGAACTTGTACTTCTCTGCATTATTCAACAGATATGATGGAAGATGAACTGCTGAATAAGAATGGGGAATAGGCCCCATCTTCCCAATAATCTCCTTAAATGTATACTCTTCAGGGAGCATGTCAAACAGATCAGTCCCTTTGCATATGACATCCTGAATCCTGTCACGGTTCAAGTAATGAGCGAACCTCACCCGATCATTGTGGCTGTAAGCTTTCATCTTGAACACGAATTCACTTATTCGGCGAAAACAGAAGCTACAATGCCAGCCAGCATCTGATAGCAACACATCCGCCTGCCTATAGTGCGCATAACATGTCTTGCCAGTTCTGTATCTGTGAATCGATGCTCTCCAACTTTGGTTGTCAAGAAAGAACTCAAAAGAGTACAAGTAGTTCCTCATTTGAAGATGAAGAATAGAAGGGATATCATTGCACCACCTCAAGAGGTTAATTGTGTGAGCACTGGGAATCTCATCAACATCAGACATTATCAAGAGATCGTCATCTTCTATTCCTGCTATCCTCAGAAGCCTGTCCAAGGCCACTCTTTGGTACGCCTCTTCAACAAAAGGATTCTCACCTTTCATAAATCTTCCTCCAACCACCCCATATGTCAACCGAGAATCAACAAACCTAAACTTGTCCCTGTTGTTTTCGAAAATCAAAGGTTTGGGAATTCCTGTAAAAGTTGAGTTTGATTCCAGGATGACATAATGTGTCACAAATGGATACATTTCTTTCCAGCGAATGGTGAGGATGTCAACTTCATTGCTAAACAAAACAGCGTCAAAGACTCGTCTGGGTGATTCACGAATTCCCCAACCATGAAGCCTGCACAAAGTCTCCATCGACACATTCTCATGATAATAGTGAGGGATTTCATGGAAGGACTTTGGAGGAGACTCCCAAAGGGGTCTCAGAAAATACGAGATTTTCAACCCATGAAAATACACACAGAAGATTCCCATTGGAACAATCACAAACAGAAACATGCAGGTCTTGAAATCCAACCCTCGCAAAATACAACGAAGCCTTGACATGCCCAATGCAGCACGAGTTCCCTGCTGCGTAGAAAACAAAACCACTCTTATGTTAATTTATTGCTCAAATACCTTGCATGCATCACAGCACAACCAGTATCAAGCAGTAGCAGGACATGAATTCATCCAATCCATCCCTCACAAGCACATATTAGACAAAGACATCTCATGGCAACAGTTCAAAAACCACAACCTGGTACTATGTCATCTTCTCATGAAAATAGGATCTGGGGAAACCCCAGAAAATGTAATATAAAAAAGACAGAACACATAACAGGACAAAAAAAAAAGTTAGGGAAAGCACAGAAATTTCAGTTCCCAAGTTCATGTATTCCTGAGCAAAGGGAAACCAAATGAAGCAGGGGGCAATAAAATTAGAGGGTTTGAAAAGGGCGAAAGATCCAATTCCAAAAACTCAAACTTGAACTGAATCCATGATTCAAAAGAATGCAGGACCAAGAAAAACCCACACTTGAAACTTCAAAAACTGGCCAACCAAAGAGAAATTGCATGTTCAATAACCAATCTAAACAGACACAAAGGGTAACACGGTGGAATAAAGTGAATGAAACACTGAAAATTTACCCAAAAAATTAAGCTTTTTGATTCAAAAGGAAAAACAAAAGGCACAGGAGTCCAAATTTCATTAATTTTTAAACATAAAAAATGGGATATATGAAAGGCAGCATGTTTGAAGTTTCCCTTTTGGTATTGACATGAGAAGAGAATCTGAAGTGAAGATTTTCATTCCAAANGTTCATGTATTCCTGAGCAAAGGGAAACCAAATGAAGCAGGGGGCAATAAAATTAGAGGGTTTGAAAAGGGCGAAAGATCCAATTCCAAAAACTCAAACTTGAACTGAATCCATGATTCAAAAGAATGCAGGACCAAGAAAAACCCACACTTGAAACTTCAAAAACTGGCCAACCAAAGAGAAATTGCATGTTCAATAACCAATCTAAACAGACATAAAGGGTAACACGGTGGAATAAAGTGAATGAAACACTGAAAATTTACCCAAAAAATTAAGCTTTTTGATTCAAAAGGAAAAATAAAAGGCACAGGAGTCCAAATTTCATTAATTTTTAAACATAAAAAATGGGATATATGAAAGGCAGCATGTTTGAAGTTTCCCTTTTGGTATTGACATGAGAAGAGAATCTGAAGTGAAGATTTTCATTCCAAAACTGAGAGTGGGAAGAAAGAGAGAGAAAATGCAAGTACCTGGCTACAAACATCCCCACATATGTCATCACTCTTCTTGGAATTGTAATAGCCTTCAGACATGGTTAATTAAAAAAGAAAAATAAGAAGAAGAACAACAAAAAGCAGAATCTGCAGAGTAGAATACAATGTTTGAGGCCTTCGTGGCTGAAGTATGTTGTTTTTGTGTGACTCTGAGTCTCCCCAAGCCTCAAAAACACCGTACTGTTTAACGTCAGTTTGATTTATAGCATAGCCGTTTTCTTTTTCTTTTCTATTTATTTTATTTCTCTACCCATTTTTTCTTTTATTTATTTTTCAATTCATTTTCTTATAACTGTTTTCTTTTATTTATTTATTTTTTTGCCTTTTTTTAATTAAATTTTTAATTTCTTTCTGACTTTCAATCTTTTCATTTATGTCACTCCTCTTTTCCTTTTCAATGTTTATTTTTCTTAATAAATTGTCTGTTATTTTTTCAAATTTTAAGATGGTTTAATTATTTTTCAATTACATTTTTAATTTAATTAATACGGAAAGATAAATTAGCTACAATAATCAAACAAAGAAAATATAAAAACATATAAATATACATTGAAAATAAGAAAATAGAAAAAAAATCTTAAAATTATATTAAAAATCAAAATAAATAAATAAATGGTTTTCTTAATTTGAGTCGAAATCCCTTAAACGATTATTACGAACAAACATATCATTTTAGTCTCAAATCTAAAATTAAAATTTAGCATATATTTTATTTTGTTAACCTAATATATTATAAAAAATATAATTAATTAAAAAAACGTATGAAAATTTTCATATTAGACCAAAAGTTTAGATTTTTAAAAATTTTGTGAGTGAAATTACAAAAAATCAAATTTCTGTTTGTTATTTATTTATTTATTTATTGTTCCATGAATGGAGGAGAGAAAGGGACTCACTGGTCCAATTTTATTGACAACTTGTCATTGAAGTTCGATTTATCGTAAAATGTAAAATTATAAATATTTAATTTTAAAGTATATGTAAAATAATTAAAATAAAATAAAATAAAAATGATTTGGATTATCATAGGGTTATTAATTAAACTTTAATATTAACATATGATTACTATTTTAAGGTCTTCACTTGCTTGAAAGCACAAAAATAAATAAATACTTATTCTAGGTCGTATATTCTTTCCTTATTTTTTTTATTCTCTTCGTTTCTTTCATTTTTATTCTTTTAGAAAAATCAATGCTTCCAATTTTTTTTAAAAAAAAGACGTCTATTTAAATTAAAATTTCTTTCCGAAATATAATCATTTAAAAAATGGAGATTTTTTTTCCCAAGGATAATGCTAAAAACGACAAGTGAGTAATTATATATCTCACATATTGGTGGTATGTACGATTTTTTTTAAAAGTAATTTGTTGAGGAAAATATTTTTTATTTAAAAAGACAAGTCCATCTCATTACCAAATCAAGATTTATCAAAGTGTAAGAAAATGGAATAGTAAAAATATAATTTTGTAAAAAAAAAATCATTTTTTTACCTTTTTGTTTATAGAGTTGAAAATAAAAAAATTGTTGATAGAAATGCCTTTCTAAAGAGGAAAGAGGCAAACCTGATAAACATTCCCTTGGAAATTTCAACCTTTGGGATAACTTCCCTTTCATGCCCTTTGAACAATTCAAAAGTTCTTCCCATTTAGATGGGTTGAAAAGATGAGAGAAAATGTTTGATCATAAATAAATTAGAATGGTTCAATGAAATAGTGTTTTTTTTTTTCTTTGTCCTTTTCCAATTCCTTTAGTTTTAAAGGCAACTTTTTTCCTTTCTCCTTCACCCAACATTCATGCAAAATTGTTACTTTTTTCTTTTATGTTCCAAAAGATTTGTTATTTTCTCTTGGAATTGTAACTATTTGTTTATGGAAAGAAGATAAAACTTCACATACACTAAGATAGATATTTACATTTTATTTATTGTTTCTAAAAGTTAACATTTGCACCCTTTTTACCATACTTATGGCCACATTTTCTCTTTGGGTAAAGTTATTGAAAAACTCTAATTGTAAAAACATAAGATAAACTTCACACAAAACTACCCACTTCAAGTTTAAGAACATATAAATAGCAATATAAATAAATATTGATTAACTTGTCTCTTCCTACTAAAATAATTTATAATATATATGAATATATAATAAGATATTTGAAAATTGTCTTTAAATTTATGTTGACTAAATCATACTTTTAATTCTTGATATTTAGGATAAACTTACTTTTTGATGTCCCAATTTAAAATATAAAAAAAGTCTCCAAATTAAAACAAAATATTTTATCATTTCAATTTATTGTTTAGGATTAATATGCATATATATAATATTAGTTTTCAGATTGAATATTTAAAGACTAGAAACGTTTTTTTTTATTATTAACTAGAGGGTTTAATATATTTCTTAAAAGAAGTTGAGGAATCAAAGTCAAATTTACTTGAATTTTTATTGATTGAAAACATAAATAAGTTATTAATATTCAATGAAGTAAACCAGTTTCAAAAGTTTCTCAAGTTAATAGCTTTGAAAACCTACATTTTTTTATATTGTTTTCAAATTGAGTTTTTATTACCGTTATACAACCTTAGAGACACACTTTTAAATCATTTACCCCCAAAAAATACATTTTTAAATGTTTATTATTTTTCATTTCATGTTTATCAAGAATTTTTTTTGTAACGTTTAGTCGTTTATTGCATTCAAATATTTGGAGGTTTTATGCATATTAATTGAAAGCAGTAATTTTTCTTCTTTTTTAATAACTAGATAATCATAGTTACTTAAACCAAGTTTGTTTGTTTTTAAGATAGAGTAATTTTTTTTTTCAGTTGTATTATTAGGAATCTCTTTCATCGAAGATAATTAATTATAAGTTCAGTTGATAGATATTTTATATTAACAGCCTAGTTTAAAACATTTAAGTTGGTAACTACGATTTCAACATTAAAGATTAGTTATTCTTCTAAACAGTCACAATATTTATTTTATTTAATTTACTTCCATTACAAATAAAATATTTAATCGGGTCTTTTAATTTAAAAAATGTATTAAAGTTACTCTTTTAATGTTTAATTAAATATTTCAATTTTTAAAAATGTATAATATGTCTTACATAAGTTAATCATTGTTACATAGAGCTTGATCTGCACATGTTCTAATAAGAATCATTACAAAAGAATAAATTCAAAATCATAAACTAATGATAATTTAAGGTCATCAAAAATTATAATTTGAAACACATAAAATGCAATAACACTCATATATTCATACATTCTCATTCAAAATCAATACATTGTTAAAGATTTCAAATCTAATTATTCTAAACTTAATTTCTAGAATATTTATGTATTGAATCAAATATTTATGAAGCCAGATACTTGTTAATAATCACGAAATAAAATATTACGAACGACTCAATTTATCCAATCTTAATCGTCCATGACAATGTAAATTCAGGTATAGCATCACTTGAAAAGTGTAACATCCCATAATCTCACACTCGACATTTAATAGATTTTATAAATATTGTAACATCACACTCGATATTTAATAGATTTTATAAATATTGTAATATTTCTACATTCGTCACACGGTAATATACATACTTCACACTTGAAAAATTCTTAGTTGATATATTGTAGCATTACACCACCATTCATAATGAATATAAAGGACTTCATACAATATATATATATATATATATATATATATATATATATGTTTTAAACTCAGATTTCGACTACAAACTCATAAATATAACTCGGATTCTTCTAATTTATTCTTCTATCTCTTTCTTCATTGGCACTGAATCGGACGATATTCCTTCATCTGCTCCCGTATAACGAATTATACGATCATCGCACAAACACAAACAAGTAGGGGTGAGCTAAGAAGAAACAAATCATTTATAAAACATTGATTCACTTAACAAACGTCATATAATAATTATGTCAAACATCCTCATACCATCATTTCACATAATACCCAACAGACACTCGTCCCACCATACCACAATACCCAATAGACACTCGTCCGGATGATATGTTGATGAGCGGTCACAAGAGGTTACGCACTTGTGATGACTCTACTTCTTCTTACAAATACACCTCCAAAATACTACATACTAAAGATCATACAAAATGAATATATCACAAAATAAATTAACAATACTCTATGATTTAAGTTAAAAACCTATCGAGTTGTTCCCGGAAAACTTCCATATATATATATATATAATTTATTTATTTATTTTATAAAAATATATTTTTGGAGAAATGTAATTTATAAAAATATATTTTTGGAGAAATGTAATTTAGTAGGTTTGAACCCATGTCCCTAGTGTTAGGAGGTGTTTACCATTTGAGTTACTATAAATTTTTGTTTAACTTATCACATTTTATTTTTTTATATAAGCTTATTAGTTATATTTTCCATTCATAAAGAAATTTATTACTACAAGAAAATACTACTATTTATTAAAATGGATAATTTTAATGGACTTTACAAAAAGGAGTCATTCGTCCCAAATCGTCGTATAGAACCTTCCTCAAATTTCACCATCCAAAATTCATTCTTTATATGACTTTGAGTCTAGTAGAGCTAGGATAACTTCACAATATACAATATAGATCCCTATTCAATGCATAACACTATATTAACCAATATAACATTTCTCCTTTAGAACACCATATTAATAGGTATACAATTTTAGTCACCTTTAAACCATACATTTTCTTTTATCATCATATTACACATCATTCATGTATAACAATGTCATCTTCATTTTCACAATATTGCACCTTAAATAACTAAACATTCCAACACACACTGCCCAACAGACATAAAGGGCATCCAACGCTAATCAGGTAGAGAGCTTCTCGGAAAAAAAATATCAAACTAGCACCTAACAATTTGATATTTTTGCCNAGTCACCTTTAAACCATACATTTTCTTTTATCATCATATTACACATCATTCATGTATAACAATGTCATCTTCATTTTCACAATATTGCACCTTAAATAACTAAACATTCCAACACACACTGCCCAACAGACATAAAGGGCATCCAACGCTAATCAGGTAGATAGCTTCTTGGAAAAAAAAATATCAAACTAGCGCCTAACAATTTGATATTTTTGCCTAAGGGAGATCATCAACGCCTAGA